CCGCAGTCACCCCACCATACTCTTACCCCACCTACCCCATCCCACCATATACCCCGACCCCACCCTTTACCCCCACCCTATACCTAGGGTGGTGGGGTTGGGGTGGTGGGGTCGGGGGTAGGGTTGCGGCAGAGTGGGGTCGGGTAGGGTAGGGTAGGGTAGGATTGGGTAGGGTAGTGGTAATCGGGGTAAGGTAGGGTAGGGTAGGGGCGGGGTTGGGGTAAGGTAGGGTAAGGTGGGGTCAGGGTGGGGTCGATGCGGTAAGGGGGTATGGGGTAGGGGCCTATGGGGTTGGGGGTAGGGTCGCGGTAGGGTGGGATCGGGTAGGGGTAGGGTCGGGTAGGTAGGGTAGGGGTAGGGGGTAGGTGGGGTCAGAGTAAGGTAGGGTGGGTAAGGGGTTAGGGGGTATGGGTACACATTTATATTATATACTTGTGTTCATGAATGTTTGTGTGTGTATATATGTATAGGGTTATTTTGGACATTTTAATGTTAAGCGGTGTTTTAAACCGTCTGAAGTAAACACAGTCTTACAACATTGTTTATTTTATGCACCGCTTATTAACACGGGTCTTAATAAGCACCGTTTAATAACCGGTGAAGTAAACGCCTCCTTATTGTTACATAGTACTCCGTATTTGTTTTGTAGTTAGGATTAGTATTATTATGTTAGGCTTATTGTTACACACTACTCCGTATATATATTTTGTACTTTATTAGTTTTATGCCTATCCAACATTAAATTGTGTGTGTGTGTATATAATGTTAGTAGTATATATACTTTAATGCCTATCTCAATTGTAATACGGTAGTAGTATATTTTTGTTAATTTATATTGTAGCTTTAATTCTCAAATTGTTATTTCCTAATAAAAGTTGTCACTTTATAATGTTAGATAAAAACGTCACATTTGATACTTTAAACAAAATTTTATCTGATTCACATAATTATTATTAATATCACTTTTGTAATATTTTATCTAATTGATAAAATTATTTATTTTTATTTAAATTTTTTGGAGTGTCACATCCATTGTGTGCGGCGGTGCGTTTAAAATTGGGCCATGGTAGCTAGGGTTGGGAACTTGTGGCGGTGGGGGTGAGTTGGGCGGCGGCTGGAAGGGGGCTTGGGAGGATGGGGAGGGGTCTGGGGGCTAGGGCAGTGGGGGTGGGGGTAAGTTGGGCGGCGGCTAGAAGGGGCCGGGGAGTGGTGACAGGAGTTGTTGGCGTTGACCGGGAGTGGAGGTTTGGTGGCTGGTGGTTTCCGGCAGCGGCGGATAACAGTGGAGGTGTCATTTTTACTGAGGGAAGTGTGTCACTATGGTGGCGTCACTACGGCAGCGTCATTGCGGCGGCAGCACTGTGATTTGCGGCGGCAGGGACACCAGCGGCGGCGGCACAGTGACATGTTTCAAGCGCCAGTGACAACCGTAAGTGACACGAAGACCATTGGTGGCATTCAAAAGTGACATAAAAATTTGACACTGGCATGAAAATCTGACAGTGGCATAATGTTTTCCAAATATATGAAAATCTATAGTGATAGGACGGTGGTTATAGTGATACGGGCGGTGGCTACAGTGACACGGGCGGTGGCCACAGTGACACAGGCGGTGATTGTAGTGACACGGGCGGGGGCCGCAGTGACACGGGCGGTGGCTACAGTGACACGGGCGGTGGTTGTAGTGACATGGGTGGTGGCTGTAGTTACAAAAAAAAACGAACATGCAGTGACATAAAATTTTTGCAGTTACATCATGTTTTCTAATTGCACATATATGACCTTTTTAATCACTTTTTTGCCCTTTTTCAAAAGTGATCACTTTTTGTGTAATTGGTTCAAAATTAGTAATATCCAAGTAAAAACGCCTTACTTATAGCGGGCAAATAGTATTTCTAATTGGGAAAAATATTATGTTATTGTTAATTTTTCTAGTGAGCCCTTATAATTTTTTTAACCTTTATTAGCTGCCCCCAACACACTATGTGTATCCGCCCTTGAAAGGGTGTAATGTAAAAAAATAAAAAATTGGTAGGGATTGTTTATTTGAAAAAATCTTTTTTTGTACACATCAGATATTTATATGCCCACGGCAAGTTCTATTTTATCTGTGTCACAATTATTTTTGTAAGCTGAGTTGACAATGACATTAACATCTTGTGGAAAAATAGAACTTTTTATCGATATCACATGCAATTAATAAGGACAAAACTTATTTGACACACAAATAACAAAAATGCTACTTGTACATGCCTATTTACATGTCCGTTTACATGTCGTATTTTGCATATGCATAAAATTGATTTTCACCTAACAAAATTAAATTCCTCTTAATCATAACGGTGTGTCCCCTCAATATAGGGATTTTTGTGCCGCCGTACGTGCGGATCGATTGGGGCAGGACAAAATCGCTAGTTTTTTTTTGGATTTTGTTTTGTTTCCTTTATTTAATTCGTTCGCTGCTTCGTTTATTTTGATTTTTCCGGCAGTAGAAGGTACAAGCATATATGGTTTGTGGTTATGCTCTTTCAGACGGTGATTTGCTTGGGTCGCGAGTTGTTTTGTGTTTTAGCTTGGTTTGCTTACTTTGGATTGGTATGCTCTCTTGCTGCTATTAGCGAAAGATAGCAGGTTTGGTTTTTCCATGTTTGATTTGTTGTTGTTGTTTCATAATTGGAGGAGAAGGAGGATGACAATGCGGTTGATCTTTTTCTACCCTGACGTGAACAAGAATGAAGTTCCAGAGGGAGTGCTATCGGAGTGGTCCCTAGTGAGGACTATTTTAATAGAGAAGACGGTGAAATTTGTGTCCCTTAAGGACATAATGACTTCTATTTAGAGACCAAACAAACCATTTCAATCAAAGAAATTGGCAATGAGAGCGATCTCTTCTAGCTCCTTTTACCATGAAATTGATATGAAACATGTTGTAGAGTGTGGCCCGTGGCTTTATGATTAGAACATTGTGGTGTTACATACTTACATGAATTAAAATTGGATGATTTCCCTTTGAAGGTTCCTTTATATTTCTCGGATTTTTGGATCCAAGTGCAGAATTTACTTGCAGAGTTGCAGGTCACTTGACTCTAAGGGTGGGTAAAGAATTGATAGTAATCTTGAATGTTTTGTTAAGCTTGATGAAGATTGATTTGAGGGGTGTCCGAGAGCTTATTTGAGGATTCAAGTTTGCCTTGATATCAGGAAACCGCTTAAGAAAAATTGAAAAGTTCAAAAATCAAACGAGGATTGTTTGTGGGCAGATCCGAGGTAATAAAAACTTTCCAATTTGTATTTTGCTTGCAGCATTATTGGCCATGGAGGTAGGTTATGTCATCAGGTTTTAGGACAACCAAATTTGGAGTATGTTGGGATCCCTCCTTAATTGGAGAGGTTCTAGAAAATTCTAGAGCTTTCTAGATAAGTATAGAATTTTCTAGAACGTTCCGGAGAATCCTAGAGAAGTCTAGAACTCTCTAGAAGCTTGTGGAACAGTGTGGAATCCTCTAGAATATTCTAGAGATGTGTGGAACCTTCCGGAAGCCTATGGAAGAGTATGGAAGCATATGGAAGAGAATGGAGAGGTGTAGAGATTCCTTGGAATTCTCTAGAATAGGTAGTCATGTGTAGATCATTCTAGAGAACTACTCTCCACCACTCATTATGGAGGTGGAGTTGTATAAATAGGAGTAGGAGCCTCCATTCCTAACCATCCTAGCCAAGAGTGAATCCACTTCTAGAGTGAGAAAGTTAGAGAGCCTCTTTGAGAGAGAAGAGAGATAGCTTGGGAAGACATCATCCTCAAGCTTGAGTGAGCCACCATTGAGTGAGACAATTCTGTAACATCTTTGTATACCCTACTATTCTTTTGTATAGTGGAAGAATCTCCATATTGGAGAATTTAAATCGTGTGCTCCCATTGCTACCTTATTTCCTAAGTGCCTATCTTAACTTCACGAAGCGGGAAAGTCCGGAGTGTTTTTTCCCAACAGTGGTATCAGAGCCAGGTTCACCTGAGATCGTCATTAGCTCGTGCAGTTCAAGATGGAGGATAACGTCGCTCATGATGGAGACATGTTCAAGCTCACCGCCAACAACTACTCATATTGGAAATCGATGATGGAAGATCATTTATACTGCAAGGATTTGCATGAGCCCATCATCTACAAAGAGAAGGTTGAAGGCAAGAGTGATGCCCAGTGGGAGCTACTCAATCGCAAGGCCGTTGCTATGATCCGTAAGTACATAGACAAATCTCTCTTCAAGCATGTTTCTACTTACACAAATGCTTATGAATTATGGACTAAGCTTGAGTCCATGATTCAAAAGAAGACACCTCGTAATAAGGCCAATTTAGTTCGACGGTTGGTGAAGTTGGAGTATAAGGATGGTCATAGTATGATTGAGCACCTTAACAATTTCAAGGGGCTCGTAAATCAATTAACCAAAATTGAGATGAAGATTGATGACGAGTTGCAAGCCCTTCTACTCCTGAGTTCCTTGCCGGAAAGTTGGGACACACTTGTGGTTACGCTTAGTAACTCAGCTCCGGAAGGAAAGCTAACCATGGATACCGTCAGTGATAGTCTTCTTGGAGAAGAAGCAAGGAGAATGGAACGAGGTGAGTCAATCCATCCCGAGGCCAATGTTATTGAGAACCGGGGTAGGAATGAGACTCGTGGACGCAGTAAGTACCGAGATCCATATCAATCTCGAGGAAGATCCAAGTCACGCTCGAAGATCACATGCTACTACTGTGGAAGATTGGGCCATAGGAAAATGGAGTGTCGATCCCTCAAGAGAGACCAAAAGGCCGGTAACGTCAAACCAGACCAAGTCAGCCCAACCAAGAAGCATGAAGAGAAGAGTACCACTGCGGTGGCCGCAAAAGAAGATCTGCTATATCTTGTTGGAGAAGGTAATATTCTCAACATTGCTTGTGATGACAGCTCTTGGATTGTTGATTCTGGTGCTTCCTTCCATGTCACTCCCCATGGAAGTTTCTTCTCATCCTACCAAAGCGGTGACTTTGGCACGGTTCAAATGGGAAACCAAGATAGAAGCAAGATTGTTGGGATAGGAGACATCGTCCTAACAACTAGCACCGGATGTAAGCTTGTGCTCAAGGATGTGAGGCATGTCCCGGCCATGCGCCTCAATCTTATCTCTGCTGGAAAGTTAGATGATGCTGGTCTGATGAACTACTTTGGTGAAGGAAAATGGAAGCTCACCAAAGGAAGTCTGGTCATGGCTCGAGGAAAGAAGGAAGGCTCATTGTACGTGATGCAAGCCAAGCTCTGCAAAGGGGAAGTAAATATAACCACTGATGACATGGAGGTATGGCACAAACGACTTGGACACATCAGTGAGAAGGGACTCCACATACTCGCTCGCAAGCATCTCCTCCCGGACATGAAAGGTAATTCACTCGATCCTTGTGCACATTGTTTAGCTGGAAAACAACATAGGGTTGCTTTCCAAAGATCTTCTCCGCCCACAAGGAGAAAGAACATCCTCGACCTTGTACACACCGATGTGTGCTCAATGTCCGAGAGATCCATTGGTGGTGCATTGTACTTCGTGACCTTCATTGATGATCATTCAAGGAAGGTGTGGTTGCACCTGTTAAAATCCAAGGATCAAGTGCTTGACGCCTTCAAAGAATTCCACGCTCAGGTAGAACGTGAGACCGGCCGGAAGATCAAGTGTGTACGGTCGGACAATGGAGGTGAGTATAGAGGTCCCTTTGAAGCCTATTGCAAGAAATATGGCATTAGGCTAGAGAAGACTCCACCCAAGACACCACAACTGAATGGGTTAGCTGAGAGAATGAATAGAACTATTGAAGAAAGAGTTCGTTGTGTGCTCTCTCATGCTAAGTTACCCAAATCATTTTGGGGAGAAGCTATAATGACCGTAGTTGACATTGTCAACCTCACACCATCGGTTCCTTTGAACGGCGCCATCCCAGAGGAAGTCTGGACGGGCAAAAAGGCTTCATACAATCATCTTAAGGTGTTTGGGTGCAGGGCATTTGTTCACATTCCCAAAGATGAGCGAGCAAAGCTTGATGCAAAGACAAAGGAGTGTATCTACCTTCGCTCACCCAAGGATGAATTTGGCTATCGGCTATGGGATCCAATCAATAAGAAGGTTGTTCGTAGCAGAGATGTCATCTTCTTCGAAGATCAAACGATTGAAGATATTAAGAACTCGGAGAAGCCAAGATTGAGAAGAAGCAAGAACACCGAACTTACTCCAATTCAACGTGAGGATGACACACATCAAGATAATGATGATGAAAACCATGAGCAAAGCAACCAAGAGACTCATGATGAATCAAATCAGGAAGATCCTCAATCTAGTTCTCTGCCAGCACCAGAGCCGAGGCGATCCTCTAGGGAGAGAAGACCATCCATCCGGTATAACACCGAAGATTACATTACACTCACAGATGAGGGGGAGCCGCAAAGTTACAAAGAAGCAATCAATAATATTCATAAAGAAGAGTGGAGAAAAGCCATGCAAGAAGAGATGCAATCCTTGCATGAGAATCACACTCATGAACTTGTGGAGCTGCCAAAAGGGAGAAGAGATAAGTGTGTATATCGAATCAAGACCGAAGATAGAAGCTTGAAATCTCGCTCTAAAGCTCGGTTCATCATCAAAGGATTCCAACAAGGAAAAGGCATGCACAATGAAGAAAAATTCTCTCCCATGGTAAAGATATTGCTGAGAAGTTCTCGAGAAAAGAAATTTCATCTTGACAAGGTTCACACAGACGAAAAACTGGTCAAACATGATGACCAAGGTAATACCGACAAACAAGTTCGAAGACTGTTGTCAAGGTGCAGGTTTGCTACTACCCCCCAATTAAGTCGCGAGGGGGAGATTTGTTGGGATCCCTCCTTAATTGGAGAGGTTCTAGAAAATTCTAGAGCTTTCTAGATAAGTATAGAATTTTCTAGAACGTTCCGGAGAATCCTAGAGAAGTCTAGAACTCTCTAGAAGCTTGTGGAACAGTGTGGAATCCTCTAGAATATTCTAGAGATGTGTGGAACCTTCCGGAAGCCTATGGAAGAGTATGGAAGCATATGGAAGAGAATGGAGAGGTGTAGAGATTCCTTGGAATTCTCTAGAATAGGTAGTCATGTGTAGATCATTCTAGAGAACTACTTTCCACCACTCATTATGGAGGTGGAGTTGTATAAATAGGAGTAGGAGCCTCCATTCCTAACCATCCTAGCCAAGAGTGAATCCACTTCTAGAGTGAGAAAGTTAGAGAGCCTCTTTGAGAGAGAAGAGAGATAGCTTGGGAAGACATCATCCTCAAGCTTGAGTGAGCCACCATTGAGTGAGACAATTCTGTAACATCTTTGTATACCCTACTATTCTTTTGTATAGTGGAAGAATCTCCATATTGGAGAATTTAAATCGTGTGCTCCCATTGCTACCTTATTTCCTAAGTGCCTATCTTAACTTCACGAAGCGGGAAAGTCCGGAGTGTTTTTTCCCAACAGAGTATAACAAGAAATTTGAGTCGTGGATGAGATCAAGCAGTGGACATAGTGATGTAGAGGTAATAAGTGACTTGTGATAGAGAAAGCAAGTAAATAAGGATCTAACAATGATACGGGAATGGAAGGGTTCACGCCGACAAATGAAATAGTGGATATGGATCCTATTTCTGATGGTTATGCCGGTGGGAGTAAGAATCCAGACGGGCAAAAAGAAGGTGTACAAGTAGCAGATCAAAAATGGCATCAGGTGGAAGCAGTGACGACAACAACATCACACACAATGATGGAAGTTAAAGCTAGTAGAGGGAAAAATGGAGTTGGGGCGAGCTCTGGACAATAGGTTTGCCTAGCAAGCTGAAGTGGGATAGCTCAAGTTTCCAATTTTGTTTATTTTGTTTTCAATTTTAATTTCAGACTTCAAGTTTTTGTTATTTTTTTGTTGGTTTTGGTGTTATTAGTCAAGACACTAGGATGTTTTTTGTTACTGTAGTGTGGAACACTCGTCACTCGTCGATCTGGTTAGTGCAAAAATACTATAGGTATCCCAAAATGGGGGTACCGCATATTTACCCATATTTGTGTGACTCAACTGGGACAACTCATTTAAGTGGGATAATTCATATGAATGATGACCACATTTGAACCACACATGTGGGTACCCATTTTGGATACACCAAAACACCAACTCTAAAATTTGAGGTACACACGAAATTGCTTTGAAATTTTATTTTGAGCATTGAGATGGTCCAACACGAAAGACAATAAAAATGGAGTTCCTATGACAATATCCATCACTCCTACGTGTCTACTGCAGCATTTCGACTCAACACTGTACTGCTCTGACATCGGCAGCACAATTTTGAACACTGAAATGAAAAGCATGGCCTCCATTATTACAAATAAAAGGCGCCTGAGTACGTGCGGGCAGCCCCTGCCCGCTCCCCAAAGCTAAAAGGAGGCCTCACTTTTGTCTCAAATTTGGTCTCTTTCACATTCTTGGGAGGGTCCGGTTCTGATGCGTGAGCCGCACGTGGCCCGCATCCGCGTCCGCCCTGACCGGGCGGCTTCACGGGCAAAAGCAAAGTGAGAAGTTGCATCAGCAAAGCCCCAGCCTTGCCTGCTTTTTCTTCAACATACACACACCGACACGTATTCACCAAGTTTTGGATTTCGGAGTATATATCATTATCATATACCTACCCGACGAATCATAATTGCACAAGAATCAGAGAATATGATGGAGGACGGAGATATATCTGGGGCAAACGAAAACGAAGACGTTGAATTGGGAGGAAGCAGTAATAGCGAGCAGGAGATTAGCAACAGCGACGGTAACAATGGTAAAGCCCCGGAGATATGTCTGGCGACGGCGTCGTCGATGTTTCCAGGGTTCAGATTTTCGCCGACGGACCAGGAGCTGATATCGTATTACCTGAAGAAGAAATTGGAAGGGATTGACAGCTGCGTGGAGCTCATCTCGGAAGTTGAGATTTGGAGGCACGAGCCTTGGGACTTGCCCGGTACTCTACCTTTCCTTCCCTTTTCATTTCTTTCTAAAAATCATGGTTCAATTTTCAATACACGTTTTTTTCGGTTTGTGAAGTACAGATGAATAAACTGCTCGTTTAAAAAGTTTTTGCTTTGGTATAAAGTAAAATTGAGTACTTTGAAATGGTTTAAACTTCAGGGAACTTTACTGAGTGTATGTTTGGGTTTTAGTTTGTAAATTTATTTTGTTAAGAAATAGTTTGAAATGGTTTAAAGCTGAAACTTCAGTGTACTTCATCAAAACAACTTTCAGTTTACTGAAAAGGCCATTGCATAAAACTTAGCTAGGTGAGAATGAGTTGATGTGAATGAGGTTTGTGTTTTGAGGAAAGTTCAGTAAAGTGAAAGTTGTTGGATAGTATACGATTAATAAGTTCCTCTCTAGACCTCATGATGAGTTAGAATTGAAATAAATGACCTTATAAATGGTGAGTTAAAATTGAAATAAAATCAAGTTTTTGGTAAATTGAATGTATATGGTGTTTTTAGTGGATTCTTTATAGGTCTATTCATTGTCCAGGAACTGGTTGTATTTTGCAAAGTAGTCAACAACAGGCCAGAGGCATGCACGCTGTGCTACTTAGATGGTCAGTCGGCCTATAGGTTGCTAGGCGAGTAGGTGCCATCTACAACTTTTCCTTTTTCGTTAGATTCTGTAAAGTACCATCTATGTCTTGAAGTATACTAGATACCTGTTACGTTTTTTTTAATGTAAACTTGTAGATTGTTTTGATATTTTTAATTATTTTATGCAACTGACACTCAAAGGTCTTCATTTCCTTGAAGTTTGTAAGCATTTTTCACTTATAATTCTTGTGTAAAAATTACATCAAGAATAAAAATTACCTAGGAACCGGCTTGGCTCCAAATGCCCATTTAGATGTCACGTTGTGTACTTGTGTATGTCACGTCCTACATTCACGATCCGGAAGAATGTTGTATTGATCTTAATATGGTATGAATATTCATTGATCTGTTAATTTATTGGTGAAAGCAGCCAAGTCTGTAGTGCAATCAGATAACGAGTGGTTCTTCTTTTCGCCCCGTGGAAGGAAGTATCCAAATGGATCGCAGAGTAAGAGAGCTACTGAATCTGGCTACTGGAAGGCCACAGGTAAAAACCGGAATGTAAAGTCTGGTCCAAATGTGATTGGCACAAAAAGGACACTTGTCTTCCACACTGGTCGTGCACCTGAAGGTCAGAGGACGGAGTGGATCATGCATGAGTATTGCAGTGATGAAAAACAACCTCAGGTAATGTGGATGCTTGCACTACTTTAATGTTGGCTATGGTAGAATGGTCTTTCTTTTCCAGCACATAGGGTCCATTTGGAACTCAGAAAATGCTATGGAAAGTAAACAAGAAGGAAAGTAGATGAGAAGTTCAGAATTGGGGGGGTGGGGTGGGGGTGGGGGGTGGTGGATAAAATGCTTGTTCAAACTCAATAAACCAATTTTAGATATCTGTTTTAACCAACTTTACTTATATATTTCTATTATATGACAACTGCAAAATCTAACTATATGTTAAATTTTGAGAACTTTCTATTCAAATTTGATAATTCTTCGTATTTACTAAGGTAAAACCAATCATAATAAAAATTCTTAGCATTTCCCCCCTTTCCTTAACATTTTCCAAGTTACCAAACATAGCTCAACTTTTGGATTGTGTTTTCTTTGCACTTGTTTTGTAAATGCAGTTCATGCTCTCAAATTGTTCTCAAGCACTTGCTATGAATACTAACCACAATTGTACTGAGAAATCTGAGGCGAATACATGGATTTACTTTTGCATCCCAATAAGTGTGCATTTTCATGTGTTGTGAAGAAAAGCGTTGACACAAACATTATACAAGAATCACTTTTATCATTATTGTGAGTTTTCTCATGTTGAAAAACATTTGACTGATTCTGCACAGGTTTCTTAAGTGATATCATTTCTCATGTGTTTAGCATTACTATTTTGTATATACCCACAGGACTCCATGGTTGTCTGCCGACTTAGAAAGAATAAGGAGTTCCACTTGAATGACACCCCCAGAATTTTGAAGGATCATTCTGCTGCTGATAATATAAATAATAAAACCTATTGTGAACTACAACATGCTGGAAGTGTGACAGAAGTCACAGAACCAAGTACAGGGGGCAGCTGCTCAAACCCATGCTCGAGCACTTTCAATTTCCAATCACTTAAGCAAATCGACTATGGGTTTGATTATGATCAGACCTATGAAATCCTTTCATCCCATAACCTGAAGGTTTTACATTTTTTTCATCCTCCTTTCTCTCCTGCAGATCTGTTTACTAACACTATTTTTGGTATTGTTGTACGATGGATTCTCTTTAACCTAGCAATTGCTGGTCAGGAAAGCTAAAACTTATTTGGAATTTAAAAGGCGGGGAAAGGGATTAATCATGTTTAGTGACTAATGTTTTAAAAAGTGCTATACGTTAGCTGATATGTGATCCTGTAAAATACAAAAAAAAAACAGAATATAGTGCATTGTGCACCACTGCATCCCTCATTTTAAGTATAACATTTTTAGGATGAAATCGTAAGTCATAATATTTATGACCTGAAGAGCTATATAGATAGGGCATGCTATGTCAACCACATCGGTAAATATAAAGAATTAAATGGGTTTTTTAGAGAAGTAAAACTTCTGGTAAAACTCGAAAGGTTCTGATATGTTCGCATTCATGAATTCCAGGACTATGACAATGAAGACGACTGCTTCACGGATATACTGAGAGATGACATAATAAAGCTAGATGATTCTTCCTTAAGTACACCTCTTGATTCCCTGTCAGTAATTACCAACAAGAATCTTGGACCAGATAAGCAACATGCTCAAGGTTTTGAGCCCCGTGTGCTTCCCCCCCAAGGCACTGCAAATCGAAGATTAAGACTAAGAAGGGAAAAAGTATCATTCCTTGAGGCATCATATCAAGTTAAGAACATGAAAACACATGCTGAGGAGATCTCCATACCAGATAAAGAGCAATCACCAAGATGTGGTGTGGTTAGACAAAGACTGAAAAATTTGTTCATCTATGCTCTTATTGTAGTTACCCTTATCTTACTCTTTCTGTTGCTCTCCTCATTGGAGGGATCCCACCTTGTAAAATGGTTTGGAGATCATCTCTGAAGAACACGAGACTTTTGTACTAGACAATGTCAGTCATCTTCAATCAAGGATTGGTTGCTTTAATGAAAGTATTAACTTTTGTTAGGATTGACCAGAAGCATATCCTGTCTTGCTCATCTCAACGTTTGATATTTGGCTTATCTCGACGTTTGATGTGTGGGACCCACATCTGGAGTGGTAAGGCCCATGTTTATTTAGCAGGGTTTAAACTGGGGAGTGTTGTAATTGTTCATTGTTGACAGAAAAAACAAGATTACTGTGAGTGGATTTTTTCTCTTATGGTGGTAGGTCCCTTAAGGCTTTATCTATAGTGGTATATCACAATCACTAACCCCTGGGTTGATAGTCAACAATATAATAATAGAAAGAAATATGTGGACATTACTAGCTTTAGTGTTGCTTTCCTCAAAGGCTAAAGCAACATGCAACTTGATACGAAGTATATGGTAACCAACGAGGCATTATCCAAGAGTTTATTTCTATAGATATAGAAGACTTGCATATTTTTTGTCATTTTGAATGATGCGTTTGGGCACTTGAAGACTCTAATGACAGGAGGCTTACGTATTTCTACTACTGCTAGAGGTATGCGTAATTCATTTTTTCATTTCTGTTAGCTCAATAGGGTGGATTTTTTCTTCCTGGTGAGAAATTGGACTTTGCTCCGCATGGCGCAGTCTAATACCACATTAAATGTATTAGACTTTGCATCACATTCATTAGATTTTCACCCCATGATTTAACTCAAAATATGACTTTGCATCCCACTCTAGGATGCTTGTCCAAAGAAAAGAAACATAGGGTGCAAACTCAGCTGAATCCGGGCAATGATTAGTTGAGTTAGAACCAGAATACACCACATCTTTCAAATGCCACATCATCATTGCAGTCCACTTCCTTCTGTTTTTGGTTGGCAGTCCTTCTGATCCGTTTTTCTTAGAAAATATTCAACATATGATCCTACAACTTTCATTTATTTTACTTTTAGACTTTTAGTGCACAACTGTTGACTCTTATCACTTGTGGTTCTGATTATTTATTTGGCGAAGAATCAAACGGGAAATGGCTACATAAGTGACCGGAATGACCAAAGGTGACGAGAAATCTATAGTTGATACATATATGGAACAAAATGAAAGTAGGAAACCAAAAGTATAAATGAGCTAATAGAAGTAGGACCAAAAGTGGAATATCCTCACTCATATTACAGCCCAAACAGTCGTGGATCATTATTTCACACTCCGTGTTTTGGTTCATAGGTTGGAAGGAAAAGTAGTCCTGATCACTGGTGGTGCAGGTGCATTGGATCTATCACAGCAAAGCTCTTCTGTCAAAATGGTGCCAAAGTCTTCATAGCCGACACCAACAGAGATGATCAAAGCCATTCCCTCTGCAAAGATTTACGCCCTGCAGATGCTCAGTTTTCTACTGTGTGATGTCACAAACGAATCATGTGTCCAAAATGCCAGCGAGTCAACAGTCAGCGCACACGGAAAACTTGACATAATGGTAAACAATGCTGGAATCATGGGAATCACCAAAGCACCAGACTCTCTTGATGGCGATGCAACTGATTTCACTCATGTCTTTCATGTTATTGTTGTTGGCGCATTTCTCGGCACCAAACCCGCTGCTCAGGTAATGAAACCTGCCCAACTAGGGAGCATAATAAACAAGTCTGGCATCTGCAGTATCATAAGTGGGACGGGGCCACACGGTTACACGTGCTTAAAACATGCAGTTCTTGGCCTGACTAGGAACACTGCTCTTGACTTGGGTCAATATGGTATCTGGGTCAACTGTGTCTCTCCTTACACAGTCCCAACAAGCATGTCAAGGGCACTCTCGGGCATATTTGGGTTTTGCAGAGGACGATAGGTTTGATGTGTATTCAAACCTTAAAGGCTCACATTTGATGCCCGAAGATGTAGCTGAGGCTGTTTGTCTATTTAGCAAGTGATGTGAGAAGTATACGAGTGGCCACAATCTTCTTTTGGATGGTGGCTTTACTACTTATTTAGCTTTACATATTTTGAACCGTTAATCATATTATACCACTACGGTTTATTTGGCCTATCAAAAAGTGATTACGCTATGAACTAGCGGTTAAGAGAAGTGCATTTGACTTTCTAGCAGTTGTACGGAGATATGAATCCATGTGGAGTCTCAGTGCCCTAAAAAAATGTGGAGTCTCACTGGTACCGGATTGAAATTGATCTGGCAAACCACCTGTTACCACCCCAAATCGAAAAATTTGTTGACTAGGGATGGGCCGGGACCGGGCTCCGGGACTAGGACTAAAAGTTTCAGACCCGGTACCGGCCCGGGTTTGTACCGGGATCGGGACCGGCCTAGGACGGGACGGGCCTGGGCAATAAATAAAAAAAAACATAGTGCGATCGAGCCCGGCCGGGCCGGACCTAAGAAAACTAGCCCAATCCGCCCTTATAGCCACCGGGTCGGGACCGGACTGAGCTCCCGGCCTAAACAGTGTCGGGACCGGGCCGGGTCGGGCCGACCCGTCCCAGTCCATCCCTAGTTGGGACCAAATCGAACGGCTACCCTGAACCTGCTTGACTCGGGAACTGTTCTTAGTCCTCCAAAATGTACTGGGCTGGTTGCGGTGGTTTGAGTTTTTAAAAGTAGGCTACAAAAACAGCAAAGAAATTTGATTGGCACTGGCTTAGAACCGCTATTAGATCTGTTGGGTTCGGGCAGATCAAATGGATCTAAGGATCTTACAATAAATAAAATTACAAGAAATCGAGGGATATACATTGCAAACTTTGCAGTAAGGATGTGAGACAGTCGGAGAAATCGATCTCTAGCCCTAAAAGAAATCCACTTAACGTCTTCTCATGACCTATTATATATAGTTAGGGTGTACCGATCATGTGTTGAGTGACGTGAGAATGACGTCAGTAGCCAACTCTTGACTATTTGGAGATTCAAATCTTGCTAAGTGGTCTCTGTGTCGAATCATTTTGAGTACATGAAGTTCAACTGGGTTCCCATCAGTAAGTCTTGTATAAAATAAAGCTTTGGTTGTCTCGAACCTTTCCATACGTGCTTGTTTCTCAAACATGTTCTTGAGTTCAATAGAGATTTCATGTGCATGATTCAGACATTGTTTCTCAAGTTTGGTTTCCATGATCGTTAACATCAAGCAAGTGACATCAATATCATCGCGTATATGCCTTTCATATGTATCTCTAGTGGCTCTAGGGCATTAGCCGATGGTGTGATAGGAATTGTTTGATCAAGAACACATTCCTTACAAATTTAATATATCAAATCAAGTAACCGAATATAATAAAGATAAAGAACGGACGGCTCTATCACCACTGTTGTGTTTCAGGAAGATCAAACATAGTGGAAAAATAAAAATGTTTCTATCTGAAAATAACCGAACGAATTTGAGGCTCTTATGTAAACCGAATTAGAAGAAATTGAGTGGCTTACATGACAAGAAACATTACTTGAAATGTAATAGTTTGAAACTCATTTATTGTGAGACATTCTTTTCTCTCTATGTTTTAGTTATTTTTCCTTCTCTCTAGATATTACTAAAAATATTTTGGTGAGATATCATGTCCTATTTAACCTATATATAATACTGCCTCCGTGACTCTGTCTCACTAACATTGGGACGGAAGAAGATGACACGGTTATTAAGAAAAATGAGTTTATCTGTTTATGTGGTTGATATTGAATTGAAAAAGTAAAAATAAAATAAGAATGATTTAGAGCCACACAAACTTTATCAAATTTGGTATGGGAAAATCTTAGTGAGACTTCCCGAAAAAGGTAAAATGAGACAATCTTAACGGGGCTTAGTATATAATAAGAGCATAATGGTATTCTCGTGATACTATTCACACCACAATTATCTAGTAATGTATCAAATATTTAGATTTGTATTAATAAAAAGTTACCACGTGCTATCATATTACTCCGTATTTAGTTAATTAAATTACGGATGTACAAACAATTTCTGAGAACTAATCTCTATCTTTAAAAACAGTTGAGAGTTGGGGCTTAAAAATATTTCAATTATTTTACCCAAACTTAACGATATGTGATATTAACTCCGTCCCACTATGTTTGGGACAAGAGAGTGTGGCACAACTTTTAAGAAAAAAAGGAATTGTTTGGTTTCATTTTTAAAGTGTGAATAAAGTAAGAATGAATTGTAAGCATCCAAATATTTCCAAATATGATACGTGACAAAATTAATGGGACAGATGAAAAAAGCAAAACGGGACAAAGTTAGGGGGGGGGAGATTACTAAGGTATGTTTGGCGCAATTAGTTGAAAATATATTTTTGTGAGCTTTTTAATAACTGTTACGTAGTAGCGTTTAGTGACTGAAAAGATCATAAAAAGAAAAGGTAAGACTACCTCCGTCCCATAAAATTCTTCCCACTTTCCTTTTTGGGCCGTCCCAAAAAATTCTTCTCACTTTCCCTTTTTGGACAATTTGTGTGGTTCACATTCATTTCACCTTTTTCTTACACAACCACAATCACACATTTCCACTTTATTTCACTTTCTTAATCTCTGTGCCAAGTCAAAGTGGGAAGAATTTTTTGGGACGGAGGAAGTAGTTGTTTGGTAAAAATAAAAATCTGACTGTTTGTTTTAGTTCTGTTTGGTAACAAACTGTTTGAATTAATTAATGCTAAAAGCCACAGACTTTTCTCAAATGTTATTCCATATAGCATCTAAAAAAAGATCTATTTTTTTTGTAAAACTCTTAAATATTGTCATTTCAAACATACAACTATAAACTTTTAGAGATTTTTAAAATAGTAGAAAAGCTTAAAAGACAAATACTTTTGCATGCCAAACATAGAGCTAGTCTACTACAGTACTTCTGTAAATTCAAACACCCTTTTAAGAATCAAACCAAACAAAGAATGTTCTAATCAAGCATCAATTCATCCCAAATAAAAGTGCCGTACGACAACCCACAGAAATAAGAAAATGTTTATATTTTATCCGAAGCAGAAATGGAGAAGGAGAGGGTGAAAGGATTAAATGAGAAATACTCCTCATCCTCATGACTAGTAAGTTTCTGCAGTTCTTACTTCAATCGATTGTCGTCATTTAGCACGAGGACCGCGGTGTTAGATGCCCTTTCCATCCTCTCCCATCAGTAAGTTGTTACTTCATATCTATTTTGGGTCTGAAGATGCAATGGAACCGGGAACAAATATAACTACCGTCTTATTTTAAGCTCAGAAGTTTTAGGAATTCCGGTGTTTTTTCCTGTAAGATTTGTTTGCTTCCGATGAGAGTACTAGTTAGGCAATTTGCTAATCCCGTTTCCTTTAATTTAGGGTTTCATAAAGAGTAAAGTTTAAAGGTCTCTGTTGAATTCTTTGACCTATATTCTGCTGTATCATGAGTTTTTAGATAATGATGTAATTTTTATGTTAGGGTTTTGATCTGTGATAAAAGTTACTTCTGAAGATGTAATGTATTACCTCATTTTTATATAATATGGAGTATATAGTATGTTCTGTTATATACTGCTTGAAAATTTTGTCTTTTGTGTTAATTTACAAAATCACCAGCTCTTTGCTTCTTGTTTCCTATGAGTACTATATGAATCTCAATTCTTCTCAAATCTAACGCTCCCAGGAGTTTGATCTTTTTCATTATTTGTTAAGTAGTTGTACTTGTTATTTTAGAGCTAGGTTATGATATTTCTGTATAGTGAAATTGTACTTCTTTTATGTTTGGTTCTTTTTTTTAGGTGTGTAAGTGGAGAAGATCAGGATGATGTCAAGATCAATGCTGCTTGTATTTTTGTTAATGATACTCATAATCACGTCTCAGTTTGAATGGAAACAACAACTTGCGAGTGATGTTGAACCAAGTCCTAGCTTATCACAGAAGCAGAAGCAGATTTCTCAGAGAGAAGAAGCTGTAAAAGAGAAGGTCTGTTTTAATCATTTTACCTTATATTAATAATTTAGTATATCAGTCAGAGTTTGCATCTTCATACTTTGTCCTTCATCACTAGTAGGGTGACATTTTTCCTACTTAGTTGGATGGCACTCCACACAATAAATACTTTAGCCGTTGTACTTTTTTCTTATAATTTACTTCAACCCTTAAAAGTCATGGTAAAATAGTTTACAAGGTTGTGGAGGAAGGTTGGTCTTCAGTTTTCACTCTTCTGCATTCAAGTGTAGTCTTTACTAAAAGTTGTGCCCCCTCGAGAGTTGATAGTTAGCACAAGTAGTGCACAACCTGTCTAACTGTGCAAACCATTTTCATATTTTTGTCATGTTCCACTAGGCCTCGATAGCCTTGAGGTTGATGTAGCACTCCATTCATCATTCATCAATGCCTGGTTCATGAGTTCCCCACGTACATCGGTATCCTCTAATATGCTACCTCCCTCCCAAAATCAAGTTCCAGTTATTCTTGCTATCAAGTGTCAACTTATCTTGCTCTTGATCTCTAATTTTTATGTACCAAACTTTTATCATATTCGAATATGGCTTTTGCTGTTCAACAGAACTTTTAGTGTAGTTATCATGTTGGTTTTTATTATTAGTACTAGTTTGAGTGTTAACATTATTAGGAATCAAACACCATAAACAGTAACTGAATCTTATTTCTTGGACAAAGCAGTATATTTCACACAACTGGTCTTTACCAATCTTGATGTATTTCCATCATATATATCTTGCAGATTATTTTGTCACAGGAAAAGAACATACAGAGACTGAACGAAGTTGTGCGAAGTCTTAGAGAACGACTGGAGCAATGCAGCAGGGGTAACAATGAAACGGTGAATGGTGGGGCCCTTAACTCCCTGGCGGAAAACATCATTGAACTTGAACAACAACAAATTCTGATGGACTAAGCTCCTGGTGACATGATGTAGGTCACCATCAATTGTATGTGCTATTTATGTTTCGAAATTGTTTATCTGCTCTAGTGTTTCTTTGGAGGGTTTGGCAGTTTGACATCCTCAAATGGTACTTTCGGGGAAATCTGGCTAGCATCGGCATGATTTTTCCGTCTATCTCCAAGATTTGCAAATATAGGTCGGCCAGCTTAAAACTGAATTCGATATACACATAATTTGACTATAAGTGGAAC